GTCAACCCTGTCCCTGAAAAATAAGCTTGCTGTCTACAAACAAATCATTCTTTTTGAAATCGAGTACGGTATGCCAATCTGGGAGAGTTGCGCAAAATCACCTTAAACTCCAAAGGATCCAAAACAAGATCCTTAGGATGGTCCTAAACAGTCCCCCGCGGACTAGAAATTCTGAGATCCACTTCCTGGCTGGAATTCAAACATTAGAAGAACGGAGAGTATTCATCCTGGAAAGGTTCAGAGACACCTGTCTGAGATCAAATCATCAGATCATACGTGATCTAGCACGTTAGGTTAAGTTATACTCGTAGTTAGGTAGGTTATCACTTTTTTCAATTCTAATAAAACACATCCCCAAAGGGGTATTCTGTAAACTAGTTGAAAAACGCAAATATTTAATTAGAATATCAAATTAAACAAAGATGAAGAGCCAAGTAGGCTAATCAATTAAAATGATAAATCAATGTACGACCATAATCAACAGAAATAAACATAATTTTACTACTACTACTGCTGACGCGATGCTAAACATTGGCGACTTCAATCTACCGGTAATTTCTTGGCGATCATCTTACGGTGGATTCCTGTATCCGGGCCACGACCGTTCTACATTTCACTCTGGAGCTGTAAGCCTTTTGGATCTGTAACCGTTTGTTACAAAACATATTAGATTTTTAATTTGTGCATAGTTGTTAAATGTACCGTCACGTCTCTTAAAGTTATTTGGTGTTGGATTAGTAGGGTTAGTAGTCGTTGTATAAAATTGTTAATTTGTTAGTAGGATTAATTGTTTTTAAATTTGAAAATTATATAAAACCGTACAACAGTACAGTGGGTTTGAGTATTCTATCAGTGGGTACAACAACATTCGGACGAAATTATGATTTCAAAATGGGTCGAAAATAACGTCTCACGAGAAGAGCAATGGGATGGGAAAAGCGCGAAGGAAAAACCGCCATTCCTAAATCAGTATCTGGCGTTCGTGTGCTTCGGATCGCTAAAACCAAGTGTCCTTAAAGTTATACAAAGTGAGTGGTGAATCGGACCTTTTTTGTGGTACCATTCGGTACAGCGCCATTTTGTGAACCAACCGACTAAGTCGGTCAGAAAGCACACGAGTCGGATTATTGGTGTGGCTATTAATCCTAACAGTAAAGGACATCATTTCGCTTTGGCATTGCAAGGTCAAAATCGCCGCATTCCTCGGGCCAAGACGGCTCTAAACGCAAAAGAGGACCCCTCTCAGCAGTCACTCCGGCCTTGCCTGGACTCTGGTGATTCTTGTCAACGAGGGTAGACGCTAGGAGACCGCAGATCGCCATCAAGTCAAGTCGATCTGTTGTTCAAACATCACCACCCTGTCAGGCTCGCAACAGAGCGCTCGCACATCGGCAGAGTAGTCTTCGGCGGAGCAGAATCAACGGCAGCAGTTCAGTACCGGTACGTCAAACCCCCATAGTAAAAACCCACTGTACAGCCATAAAATTCAATAGAACTACTATTAGAAATCCAATCCACACCAGCTATAGCTTTTATTAATAAATAATTAGTATACACCCTTTGATTACTGTGTCACTTAAACTTTCCATAGCTTTTAGTCAGGTGACAGTACTGCACATTAGGATCGCGAAGCCCCTCCAGATTACCCAGTAGTAAGCCGACCTTGAGACACAGCTCGAGAGGTTTCTTGCTACTGAGCGTTTTTACCGGGATACAGACAGTAGAGTTACAGATCATAACAGTATCGCCACTCTGATACCAGGCATGGCCATAGACCGGTGTACTGGTAGAGCGAGTCGATTGCTATCCTCAGGGCGTCTTGCCTCCAGGCGAGAAGGAGGATGCAAGCGCGCGTGCTCTGACAGCTTATGCCAAAGCGCTAACACGAACCCCTGGGGGGATTCCTACAAAGTGGTCATAGCCAAGATCCGTGGCGTGGCGGCACCACCGGAGAGATCGCCGGCCATGCTGGCGTCGATCGTAGAGTTCTTGCTTCCACGTAGGGACGTTGACTCCTGGCCGCGAGGTATCTCAGTCGCGGAACAGGGAGAAGTTTCTAGAGTGACAAACAGTGAACTGATTGACATTGCAAAGTCGCTGGTGGTGGACAAGGCCCCGGGCCGGGATGGGATCCCGGTTGTGGCTCTGAGGGCGGCCGTTGCGGAAAATCCAAACATGTTCAGGTCTGTATTTCAGACCTGTCTGGACGAAGGCATCTTCCCAGATGCGTGGAAGCGGCAGAGGCTGGTACCCGAAACCCCCTGGGAACCCGTCAGCATACAGGCCCATCTGTTTGCTGGACAGCACTGGCAAACTGCTTGAGAGGGTCATCCTCAACAGGCTGTCGGTGTAAACGGTCTTTCAAGCAGCCAGTACGGGTTCCGCAAGGGCAGATCTACATCGGAAACGAAGGGGCATTCGTTACTGCGCGGTGGTAACTTTAGACGTGAAGAACGCGTTCAACAGCGCGCTCGATACACCAACTCCGAATCCCCGGAGGGCTGTACAAGATTCTGGAAAGCTACTTCCAGAATCGTGTGTTGAAGTATGGCACAGAAGATGGCGAAAAATGCGTTAGAGTCACCGCAGGAGTGCCACAAGGCTCCATCCTGGGCCCGGTGTTATGGAACGTCATGTACGATGGAGTGCTGAGGATAAGATTCCCAGTAGGCGTGAAAATTGTTGGTTTTGCCGACGATGTCACGCTGGTAGTCTACGGGGAATCCCTCGAAGAGGTAGAGCTAACAGCGGCTCACTTCGTTAAACTTGTGGAGGAATGGATGAGATCCAGGACACTGGAGCTTGCCCACCACGTTGACAGTCGGCGAGAGCACAATTAGGTCTGTGCGCTCTCTGGAACTCTTGGGGGTTTTGCTCGATGATAAGGTCAGCTGCGGCTGCCACGTCGAGTACGCCTGCAAGAGAGCGTCTACGGTTGTGCGGGCATTATCCCGCATGATGTCAAACAGCTCGGCAGTGAATGCCAGTAAGCGCAGCCTCCTCGCTGGGGTCGTGGGCTGCGGTACTGGATATTGACTGTCACAGGCGGAAATTAGAGAGTACACACATGCTAATGTGCTTGAGGATGGCCAGTGCATACCGCACCATCTCAAGGGAGGCCGTCTGTGTCATAGCAGGGATGATGCCAATCGGCCTCATCATTAAGGAGGACGTGGTGTGCTATGACGCGAGGACCGTTGGAGAGGTGCGCAACAACGCGCAAGCGGTGTCGATTGCGAGATGGCAGTCGGAGTGGGAAAACTTCACAAAGAGGAGGTGGACCTACTGCTTGATACCTTCCGTATCAAGCTGGGTCAACAGGCGCCACGGGGAAGTAAACTTCCACCTGACACAGTTCCTGTCAGGCCATGGCTGCTTTAGGAGTTACTTGCATAGGTTCGGACATGCAAGTACTCCCACCTGCCCCGCGTGCGCTGGCGTCGAAGAGACGGCCAAACACGTTATGTTCGCCTGTCCACGCTTCGAGCCAGTATCGAGCGTGCCGGATAACATCGTCCCTAGGATGTGTGGTGCTACCGAGAACTGGAGCGCTGTGGTGACTGTGGTCACCCACATAGTTTCAGAGCTACAACGAGTGTGGCGTGCCGAGCAGCAGTTGACTACTGCCCGACTAGAGCGTTAGAGTACGGCTAGAGGAGCGCTATAGCGCATAGGCCCTCCCACGAAGTAATGCCTTCGGGCGGTTCCGGGGAGGTCAAGGGCCAAGGGCACAGGTAGGGTTTAGTGGGTCGGGAGTGCAACCCCACACCCTGAGTTATTTTCTCAGGTGTCTGTGAGCGGATTCCCCCCTGTATAAAAAAAAGTATCGTCACTCTGAAGCAAATCAACCACGTGGTTAATGAGAACAATCGTAGCTTAGACCTTTACTTCGTCATCGCTAAGGATACTGCTCCGCATTTGTCTATGGCTGTTTCTCCGTTAATAAAGACTGTTTCACACCATCCTCCTTTAGTTATTGAACTTGAAGGCAACCAAATTCCTGAGGTCATACCACCCCCCACCTACGATTTCCGAAATGCTGACCACGACAGTATCGGAGAACTTCTTTCGAATTTGGACTGGCACAGGATACTCGTCCCTGCCGATGTCAATGCAGCTGCCCAAACGCTCTCGCATATTTTGGTTTACGTCATTGAGCGTCACGTTCCGAAAAAAGTTCCTAAACACGGTAATCATCATCCTTGGCAAACAAGTGAACTCCGTATGTTAAAGTCTTCCAAAAGAGCCGCGCTAAGAAATTACACCAAGGACCATTATGCGAGGATCAATCATGCATATCAACGAACCAATCGCCAATGTTATCGGCGTTATCAACGAGATGTTCAACGGAAGCTTCGATCTCACTCGAAAACTTTTTGGAATTTGTGAATGAGCAACGAAAGGAGTCTGGCCTTCCATCGACTATGGTACTGAACGGCGAAGAGGCTTCATCCCCTCAGGACATTTGCCGTCTGTTCTCAACCAAGTTTGGGAGTGTATTCTCGGATGAGAACCTACCTGACGAGCATATATGTTTTAAGATTTCCATAAAGTCCCCCGGGTACTTTTTCTGAAGATCTCAAACTGACCCACAATGGATCAATGAAAATGCTGAGGTTTTGACAGAACTGTGCTGTGGCTACCACAGTATTTTACATTTGATCGTCCATATACAGTAGCGCCAAAAGCACATTCCGATGGCCATTTCGACCAGTGACAGTCCGAGGGACCAGATGTCCGACTGAACCGAGTAGTGAATTCCTTGCAGGCGTTCCGGCTGGAATGGGAAATAACGTTATCACTTTCTATGAACTTGACGCTTTCCCAGTAAAGAGATTATACATATTCGTATGATCACTACGTCACCATTGGCATCTGTTTCGCTCCTGACAAACTATACTCTACAGCAGCGTAATCTCACTTGTTCTTATCACCCGAGCGAGCGAACATCATTTTACTCATTCGAACGCAAGCAGCGAGACGGAAAACACCCAAAAATGCTGATGGTACAGACGCTGATTTGGTAAGTCCTAATTCTCAATTCAATTTTAACCAACGAATCATCCCTATTATCCAACTAGGTTATCGGTTCTACTAGCGGCCACATCCGCCACGCAGTACGAATGCCTCCCATATCCCGAAAAGAGCACGTGCATAATCGATTTTATATACTACCTTGGTGGTGAACCGATCACTTTCCCAACTGGATACGATCACTATCGGATCACGTCCCGTTCCGAGAAACAGATCACTTCCAACGTTACCATCTTCGACGAAACCCTTTACGAAGCGATGCATCGACCGTCGCGCATCGAAATGGCCAACACCAACATGCAAAGTCTAACTCTGCCACCGGAATTACAGCTGGGAAATTTTGCCGCAAACAAATTATCCTCAGTGACAACTGAAGCCGGACGACACTATCAAATCAGTTATCTAGATTTGGAAAGTAACAACTTGAAGGACATCGCGTTCATCAACAGGCTGGTGAACTTGGAAGTACTGCATCTGGACCTCAATCAAATTTCGTCCATCCCAGGCTCTGCGGTCGCCCCGTTGACTAAACTTAAGTATCTCTATCTTCAATTTAATCCTTTCACATCGATCCCCTGGACTGACCTCCCGCGAACCCTAATCCATCTGGATTGTTACTACTGCCATGTGGAATCCGCCGAGTTCACCAATGTCAGTTTACCGTCGTTGGAATATTTAGGCCTGCAACACAACGCTTTTACTACGATCAACGTAACGGACTTGCTCCGAGTCGCTCCGCGCCTGAAGGAAGCGCACTTGCAGAACAACGTAATGACTGAGCATGAAAGAGACCGAATAAACGCCAAACTAACGTCGAACAACATTAGCTTCGTCTATTCTTCGCCTTTGTTTACAAACTATTGCTACTACGATGATTATGAATTCAAAGACGGAACGTGCGTCCGACGACAATTGGCTTCGATGGGGACTGGTATGACCATACTGTTGTCGGGGGTGGTCATCGGAATGGCAGCGACGTTTGTTTACATTGTGGTGTTAACATTTAGGCACATGAACCGATAACCGATGCGGGATAATCAGAATAGCCGATTTGTGTCAGTCATAGTGCTTATCAATGGAAGTGGAGTTTTGTTTTTCTATGCGAGGTTTCAATTGTTGGCCGCTCGGTGTTGATTGGTTTTATAGGAAAACATTTACCATGCGATTATCAATAGAATAGTGATTGTTTGTTGAATTAGATGTGATCTTGATTACATTTCGAACGAAATGTGTGATTGTTTGGGCAATAACACGAATATAGTTCTTCGCATTAAATCGATTAAGTTTAACCACAGAAAACATCATTCGAACTGTCTGTCTTTCCTCGAAACAGGCCCCCGTCAAATCGCTTTTTACCGAGACTCAGAACCGTTTTCAGCAGGTGGTGAAGTTAGAAATGTCATTTGCCACCATGATAAGCGGCGCCATAGTGGTAAGCATGATTACCTCTCACCCCAGCAGGCCTGGGTTCAATTTCAGTCGGCGCCGCCGGGTGTACTGAGGCATAACATCTCCTCCCTGGCGTCGGTAGCACTGGTGCTTAGCACGGAAAACAAATCAGAGGAAAAAAAATAAGTTCCTTGAACTTTATCCAATGTCCATAATTATGTTTTTCCAAGTTCTTTCAATTGAACAACGTGTGGCCTTGTGAAGCTGGTGATGGCTAACCGGTTTACCGACGCGTGTGTTTGGCAGACAAGTGCCTACGTTCTGGGGAAGTTCACCTCGACGCTTCCTACTTCATCCAAGCCTCCTGGATAAGCAGATACAGGAGACCTCGCTGATCCGGCATACTACCAGCCGGGTCCGATCGATATCATTTTGGGATCTGACGTCTTTCTTGCTCTCCTCAAGCCACCGGTGGTGTTCCTGTGGCACAGAACACGATCTTCGGGTGGATTGTGTCCGGGAATCAAGCCATCTACTCATCAAGTCTTCGAAGCAACGTCTCGATCGTCAATCTTCACACAGAGCTGGACCTCAACCGCACATTGCGGATGTTTTGGGAGCAGGAGGAGGTTCCGAAGCCACAGCAGTTTACTCCTTCTGAATAAGCAGCCATCGAGCTCTTAAGGTCTACTCTCAAACGGGATGAAAATGGGCGCTTCATCGTGCGACTGCTGTTCGATGATTCGAAGCTAGCGCTGGGTGAGTCCCTCACTTCGGCCATCAAGCAATTGCGATTGATTGAACGACGTTTCCGACAGGATGAGGAATTCCATACGCTGTACTCGGAGTTTCTCAGCGAATACCTGGTGCTGGGGCACATGGAAGAGGTGCCACCGGACAAACTGGAAGTAGAGACTAGCAAGTGTTTCTACCTTCCACACCATGCCGTCGTCAAGGCCGAAAGCACGACGACTAAGTTGCGAGTGGTCTTCGACGCCTCGTGCGCGTCGTCGACTGGCGTTTCGCTCAACCCGGGCGGACCGCGACTACCTGAGGATCGTGTTTCGTGAATCGGAGGATCAACCAATCAAACATTATCGGTTGTGCACCGTGACTTACGGAACCAAGTGCGCTCCGTACTTAGCGATCGAAGCCATGAAGCAAGTAGCCCGCGAGTACAATCAAGTGTATCCCGAAGCCGCGCAGAGGATTGCGCTCGACACCTGTCTGGTGCGCAGACCGTCCAGCACGTGAGGAAATTGAAGGAGCAAGTTGCGGAGATTTTGGAGTCCGCTAGTTTCCACCTGCGGAAATGGACCACTAACTGTTCGGAACTACTCCAGGAAGCACCGGAGGACGATCAAGCGCCGGTCGATGTGAAACTAGCAGAGCAATCAGACGCATTCTCGTTCAAGATCAGCTTGAACCCGAACAGCGTGAACACCAAATGGCAGCTTCTTTCTGATTCCTGCAAGCTATTCGATTCGTTCGGATGGCTTTCACCTGTAACCGTCAGAGTCAAGATATTGTTCCAGCAACTTTGGCTTACTGATCTCGCGTGGCTTGAAATCAAGGAAACTCTACACCAAGTGGAGCAGATACGCATCCCTCGATTCGCACCCAACTACAATGGGAAGATCGAATTGCATGGATTCGCGGATGCGTCGGAGCTGGCGTACGCTGCGGTAGTGTATGCTAGAGGAAGGAACGAAGTTGGCGACATAGTCGTGAATCTCCTGGTCGCCAAAACCAGGGTGGCTCCGATCAAGCAAGTGTCGCTACCAAGGTTGGAGCTTAACGCAGCGGCTCTACTATCAACACTGATGGAATCAACAATTCAAGCGCTCAGCCACCTCGAAGTGGATCCTTGGGCCTACACGGACAGCAGCATTGTGCTCCAATAGTTGTCCTCGCAAATGGAAGTCTTATGTAGCCAACCGTACATCTGCAATTCTAGAAGTGCTAGAAGTGCTGCCGCGTGACCGCTGGAATCATGTGCGAAGCGAGAACAAACCTGCCGACTGTGCCTCACGAGGTCTCACACCTAGTGAACTTGTGACGCACCCGCTCTGGTGGCATGGGCCAGGCGAACTGAAAACGGAAGCTGAGCACTGGAAGCAAGTACCTGTCGAAGCAACCGAAGATGAACAGGTACTCGAGGTACCCGTCGGGTGAAGGTTCTACACGCCGCAGCGATGGCTATCCGAACCAACTACGACATCGAGAATGGTCTACTAGAACGACGATCCAACTACACCCTCATCGTGCGCACGCTGGCATATGTGAACCGATTTTTGTTGGCACTCAAGGCGGAGGACGCGAACCTCGAACCCGGATTTTCGCCGAACGAAATCTACGATGCCAAACCGCAGTTAGCTCGAGCTGTACAGTACGCTTCATACAAGCAAGAACTGGAGCTGTTGCAGAAGGGTAAGAATTTGCCAGCCAAACACAAACTGTCTGCCCTTCACCCCTTCCTGGATAGCCAAGGAACGATGCGAGTGGGAGGACGTTTGCAGAATTCGTCTTACTCATACGACGTTAAGCACCCAATTATACTCCCGGGGAATAACAAGGTAACCGAATTGCTGTTGCGAGATCTCCATCTGCGAAACCTCCATGCAGGTCCCACACTGCTCACAGCTACAGTCAACCAACAATACTGAGTGCTCGGACTTCAGACGGCTGTCCGCTTAACAGTTCAAGGATGCACGCGTTACGTTCGACTCAAGGCTAAGATGGTGTCGCAGCTGAAGGTTCATGCATCATGCGTTCGAGGTGTAAAGATGACCAAGCGGCGCCGGTGGTGTAATGGTAAGCGTGAAGGTTCAATCCCAGTCGGCGCCGCCGGGATGTTCTGAGGCATAACATCTCTGATCACGCCTTCCTTCGGAAGGGAAGTAAAGCCGTTGGTCCCCGGTTCATGAGTTGATGAGTCGATAGGTAGGGTCCAGGTGTGGGAGCTGCCTCCCAGGCGTCGGTAGCATTGGTGCTCAGCACGGAAAACAAGATCGACGGAAAACAAATCAAAGAAAAAAAAAAAGATGACCAAGGGATATATCGTAGTATTCGTATGTATGGCGACCAAGGCGGTGCACATGTTCATTTATGCACTGAAGCGATTTATTTCTCGGAGGTCTCATCCGAACGAGATTTGGTCGGATTGTGGAGCAAACTTCGTTGGGACCGACCATTGGCTGAAGGAGATTCAAATTGCGCGACAGACCCACAACAAAGCTGCTTGTCGATTTCTCACCAACTTGGGAATTGGCGGCGGTCAAGAGCGAGAAGAAGCACCTGATGGCGGTCTTGGGCTCCGAAGCAGCAACGTTTGAAGAACACTCAACGATATTGGCGCAGGTGGAAGCGTGCCTGAACTCCCGGGCCGCTAAGTCCACTTTCATCGAGTCCTGACAGCTACGAAGCACTGAACCCAGGACATTTCCTGGTCGGTCAGCCAATGAACCTCATCCCAGAGCCTGATGTCCGTCACATCCCGATGAATCGTCTGGATAAGTGGCAACTTCTACACAAGCACACAACTGAAATCTGGCGTCGTTGGCGAGATGAATATCTTGCTAGCAACCGCGGAGCAAGTGGCGAACAACCGAGACTAACCTGGAGAAGGATCAGTTTGTGTTGATCAAGAACGATAACGCGCCGCCGGCTCAGTGGGAGTTGGCGCGTATCGTAGAACTGCACCCGGACTCGATGGGAGTCGTCCGGACGGTCACCTTGCGGCGCGGGCAAGAAGAGTACTCACGTCCCATCCAGAAGATCTGCGTTCTACCAACGGATTGAGGCAGCAGTGGATGTTTCCGTGTAAATACCGCCCAGTCCTGTCGGCCACACCTGCGTCGACGAACCCCTTGCGCAACTGTCAAACTGCGTGCCTCCTTCGATCGAAATCTTTCAGCAAAAGAATCGTTGTCATAATTTTGAAATACTGTACCAAGCACCGATGAGAAAAGACGCAATAAAAGTTGAGTAAAGATTAAATTTGTATTTCGGTCCGTTTTTAAGTTTTCTTTTGATTCGAATTGCCTGTGTTTCTTGTCGGTCCATTCCAAGGTTAGAGTGATGTTAGTATAGACCCGTTGAGAGGCAGGCAGTTGTTGTTAGTTCATGCGACACTGTTGCTGCAACCTGGTCAGAGGTGTTACCCACCAAGAATCTTAAAAGGACTTCACAATATTTGTACATGAATAACATATTATTCTTCCTGAACCACCGTCAAACCCACTATCCATAGGCAGCGGACATCTTGACAGGACTTTCTTTCATGCAGTAAAACAAAAACGTGTTCTGCTTTCAGTTCGAATTTAAAAGACTTTAATACATTTGCGTTGCACGAACATTTGAATCATGCCTATTTTGTTAGCAGTGTTGCCAGCGACGCCTGCAATCACTTGTATTCAATACAGTGCAGAATAGTAGAAGGATGCATTTGCTTTTCTTTTTTTTCCTTTCTCAATAGGTGTAGGTAATTGTATAATAATCTCCTGTCATGCAATGCATTCATTTAATCTTTCGTACTAAAGGTTCATACCTAGCATAAGAGTAGGGGGAATGCATTTCTTTCCGTGCTGACTTTATCTATCTCTTGCTCTCGATTGCACGTACACGAATATAGGTTTAGTATTTAGAGATGCTTAATAATATACTCTAATGACATTTATCGGTAAGTGTATCGTATGTTTTCGTGTTTTGAATGACACTCTATATTATTTTTTTTCATTTGCATTTCGAAGAAAAAATACATCGCCAGTAAGACACATAAGAGAAAAAAAAACCACACAGGCATTCGATATAGATTTTGAAGCAACATAAAACGGCTACTACACTGTACAAAAGTAATAAAACTTAAAACTATTCGTAAACAAAACTAAACGGGAAACCATTCTCGAACCGATTTGCGTTGCAAACCCACTTTAAAAACGTTTGCTACTGCTGGCGGAAATGGGGCGATGCTGGGTTGTTCCTATGGAACTATTCTCAAACCTAGCCTACGCTATGCGCTCAAATTTACGTCGAGAATAAAGACCTTTACAAAGCATTTATGTTTTTGCTGAGTGCTGAGTTATGTTCAGTTAATCAAATATTTGCACCTTAGTTCGGCGATGCGTTCCGCTTCGGCGTGGAAGGAAGCAGATCCATCGTTTTGCACACCCAGCCGGCAATGTCCACGTCCTCCTGTTCGATATTCTTAATCCAGTCGTGATTCTGTTTGAATTGAAAAGATAATATGAATCAATGTCAACTCTCGTTCGTAAGGATGGGGAGATAGCTTACGATCAACGTTTTCAGATCGGCCCGCTCCTCGGGATTCTTCTTCAAGCACTTGTCGACAAAGTCCTTGAAGCGATCGGTGAAGGAGTTGTGTTCCAGCTTCGGAGGCGGTTCGTTGACGATGTAGTCGAGCAGCTCGAAGATGGCCATCGGTTTCGGTTCGATGATGTTCTGGCCGGGCGAGCTGTCGTCTCCCTTTTCCTGGAAGATGTAGTCCAACATTTTGGCATCCGGTGGCGGGATCGGGTACATTCCGATGGCCATTTCGACCAACGACAGTCCGAGGGACCAGATGTCCGACTGAACCGAGTAGTGAGTTCCTTGCAGGCGTTCCGGCTGGAATGGGAAATAAGGTTATCACGTTATCACTTTCTATGAACTTGATGCTTTCGCAGTAAAGAGATTATACATATTCGTATGATCACAACGTCACCATTGGCATCTGTTTCGCTCCTGACAAACTATACTCTACAGCAGCGTAATCTCACTTGTTCTTATCACCCGAGCGAGCGAACATCATTTTACTCATTCGAACGCAAGCAGCGAGACGGGAAACACCAAAATGCTGATGGTACAGACGCTGATTTGGTAAGTCCTAATTCTCAATTCAATTTTAACCAACGAATCATCCCAATTCTCCAACTAGGTTATCGGTTCTACTAGCGGCCACATCCGCCACGCAGTACGAATGCCTCCCATATCCCGAAAAGAGCACGTGCATAATCGATTTTATATTCTACCTCGGTGGTGAACCGATCGCTTTCCCCACTGGATACGATCACTATCGGATCACGTCCCGTTCCGAGAAACAGATCACTTCCAACGTTACCATCTTCGACGAAGCCCTTTACGAAGCGATGCATCGACCGTCGCGCATCGAAATGGCCAACACCAACATGCAAAGTCTAACTCTGCCGATGGAATTACAGCTGGGAAATTTTGCCGCAAACAAATTATCCTCAGTGACAACTGAAGCCGGACGAAACTATCAAATCAGTTATCTAGATTTGGAAAGTAACAACTTGAAGGACATCGCGTTCATCAACAGGCTGGTGAACTTGGAAGTACTGCATCTGGACCTCAATCAAATTTCGACCATCCCAGGCTCTGCGGTCGCCCCGTTGACTAAACTTAAGTATCTCTATCTTCAATTTAATCCTTTCACATCGATCCCCTGGACTGACCTCCCGCGAACCCTAATCCATCTGGATTGTTACTACTGCCATGTGGAATTCGCCGAGTTCACCAATGTCAGTTTACCGTCGTTGGAATATTTAGGCCTGCAACACAACGCTTTTACTACGATCAACGTAACGGCCTTGCTCCGAGTCGCTCCGCGCCTGAAGGAAGCGCACTTGCAGAACAACGTAATGACTGAGCATGAAAGAGACCGAATAAACGCCAAACTAACGTCGAACAACATTAGCTTCGTCTATTCTTCGCCTTTGTTTACAAACTATTGCTACTACGATGATTATGAATTCAAAGACGGAACGTGCGTCCGACGACAATTGGCTTCGATGGGGACTGGTATGACCATACTGTTGTCGGGGGTGGTCATCGGAATGGCAGCGACGTTTGTTTACATTGTGGTGTTAACATTTAGGCACATGAACCGATAACCGATGCGGGATAATCAGAATAGCCGATTTGTGTCAGTCATAGTGCTTATCAATGGAAGTGGAGTTTTGTTTTTCTATGCGAGGTTTCAATTGTTGGCCGCTCGGTGTTGATTGGTTTTATAGGAAAACATTTACCATGCGATTATCAATAGAATAGTGATTGTTTGTTGAATTAGATGTGATTTTGATTGCATTTCGAACGAAATGTGTGATTGTTTGGGCAATAACACGAATATAGTTCGCATTAAATCGTTTAAAGTTTAACCAATTCGTAACAATTCATTGTGTATCTTCGTTCCCGCATTTAACGGTTGATTTGAATATTATCAGTTCCGCAAACTACTCGCCGCATCGCTGGCATCGGATCAATCTGACGTTTCTGTACATTCTATAGAACTTTTATGCAATATTGTTTGCGAGTTAGCGAGCAAGTTTGTTTCCACGAGAAGCCCAAGAGATGTCGTTACTTAGGTCCTATGTGTTGAGATACTAAGTTTCCAAGAAAAACTTTTTTAAAGAGTTACGTCTGCTTGTCTGTTGTTTAACCACAGAAAACATATTTCGAACTCTCTTTCCTCGAATCAGGTCAACGTCCAGGAGGTAAGTCACTCTGCCACATGGTGCTAACCAAGGTGACTACATATAGGTGTTCTAATGTGTCAAATTCATGATTCAGCCATGTTGGATTTTTGTATGGGACAGCGACCGAGTTTGTTTACAATTTGATCTAAAACCGCACTGCTATCCTAACTGCTGCACTCTTTGGTGTATTCCAAATGATTGTTGTCCTTCGCATGAAGTTGCTCCAAAACGTCGATGTGTTTGTCGGCTATGAAACTGATGAAGGTTCCATTCGACTCCTCTTTGCTTGTTGTGTTTCTGATGAACGTCGCTATCGAGTTTTGATAGTATACGCTTCTAATTACTTCCCTTTTTTGCTAGTCACTCGATTCTGGTTTGCACTGGTATGCTCCCTGTTTCTGACAGCATTACATGGACTGGCGTTGACTTTAGGTAATTCATTGCTACTCGTATATAAGAATTCTGCATTGTTAGTTTCTGCTGCACTACCGTACACTGTGGCTCCGTATTCAAGTCTGCTTCTAATTAGGGCGTTTCCAACCTTGATGATAGTTTCTGGATGAGAATGACTATTTTTCCATCTTGATCAATGGAAGTTTTTTAGCAGCCTGTTCCCGTACGTGTTCTATGTGTTTCCGGTGTCTTAGTTCTCGGTCGAGAAAATAACCAAGATACTTATGCACATTGGTTTGTTCTATGCTGGTGTTTTTAATTTTGATGCGGATATGCTCTGTATCCTTTCGGGTGAAGGGCATAACGGCACATTTACTTGGGTTTATGGTCAGATTCAGGTCCTCCAGTTTATCGGTGAGTCTTCCAAGGGTCCTATTCATTTTTTCCGCAGTCAGTTCCAGAGATTGGCCGAACACTACCACCGCAAAGTCATCCGCGAACTGAACCAGAACACATCCTTCTTCGGCTGAGTCGTGCAGGTTGACGGTGTGTAAGTTAAAGAGGACCGGTGATAAAGGACACTCTTGCGGTAGTCCCTCTCTGACCGTCTTCACTTTCCTCGGTATGGGGTAATAATCTTCTTTCGCTGAGATAGCAATGTAGCCACGATACAATTTTCGCTGGAATCTTCTGTTTCATGGTAATTTGTAGTAGTTTGTTGGTATTGACGCAATCAAATGCTCGCGATACATCCAGAAAAGTTACTTGACCTTGATTTTTGGCATCCGTTATAGAGTTGACCAGGAAATTTATGCACGTACTGTTTTTTTCGGAAACCAAAGGAGTTAGCTGGGATTGTGTTGTTGATTTCCGTTATTGCCATTATCCTATCCTTAATAACCGAGTTTATAAGCTTAATGATAACATCCATCAGAGCGATTGACCTTTTTGAATTCGGTAGTGATGGGTCATATCCTGGTTTTGGAATCGGTTTTATTATTGCAGTTCTCCATCTCTCTGGGATGTTTTCGGTAACGAAAACCCTATTTAGCATTTCGAATATTCTGATTTGTATTCCTATGTCCAATTTGTTTAGGATAGAATATGAAATCTTGTCTTAACCTGGCGCGGAATATGTTCTTTGGGTCTTCAGTGCTTTTGCTAACTCTTGAGGGCCTTTTCGTATCCTTCCAGTTTTTTCGTGGTTTGGCCTAGCGTGGAAGCTACCACATTCAACCTGTTTCCGAAGAACATTTCCATGAAGTCCTCCCCTTCTTGTTGCGTCATAGTCATCTTTTTCCTGCTGGTTCCTGAGAGTGTTGTATAGATCCCTTTAACGATGTTCCAAAGGTGTTTGGTCGGTGTATTCTAGTCTATTTTTTTTAAATTGCCCTTCTTCTTTGTAGTTCGATGAAATTTGTTTTAGTTTTATTTTTGGTGTAGTGCCTTAAAGCTGCTCGTTTTTCGTCGTATAGTTGGGCAATTTGTGGGTTCCACCATTTCTTAAGATAGTTGCTTTTTTATCATTTACTACGTAGCTGGAGCTTTCAACCGCCTCCTCGAAGCTTGCGGGTCGTAGATGAATTGTGGTCTAATGGAGTTTATTAGATCGATGACTTTTTGCTGATTAACCTTCACGAATGTTCCTGTAGCGACTGGAATCTCACTTCCAATATGGATTCGTATTTTTAGGTGGATACTCCCAAATTCCTCTTGGACTATTTCCCACGAATTTTTTTTTCTGCGATTCCTGTCGACGCAGGTGTCAGATCAACCGCCGATTCTTTTTGTTCCGGGATGGGATGATTGTAGGCTGGCCATCATATAGCAGTACTGTCTTTGAATCTTCAATCGTCATCTAGTAGCCTTCCTCTCGTACACTCGGAAAAATTGGGACTCCACTTGCGAGCATGTGCGTTGAAATCTCCAGCTATTAGAACTTCATCGGTTGAAGTGTCTATCCACGAGAACAAAATTTTTAGTTCCTCTAAGACCTCATTGTTGTTTAGGGGTGCGTATATACCCTAATAAACAAATACCATATATGAATGATAACACAAATTGTTGAAATATTCCACGAATGGTTTGGATGATATCCCAAACACGTCGTTAAGCAAAATAACCATACAAATGTTATTAGGGTGTAATCGGGTCGAAGCCTCTTACTATTGTTATGGCTACTGCCTCCAATGCTTTGAATTCCGGAATGTCTACTTCCAGACAGTTCAAGTCTTCACTTATGAGTATGACAACCCCTCCGTACCCCTTTGTTCTCCTCCTAGAAATCATTTTTTAGCCCTTAATTTTGATCTCTTCTTTTTCCTTCAGCCATATTTCCTGCAGTAATGCTATGTGTATGTTGTTTGAAACCAGATAGGTGTATAATTCCTCTCTTGTGTCGCTTGGTCTAATGCTTTGAATATTGTGTTGTATAACATTTTGAACTTTATGATCCATTGTTGTGTGGTGTTTCTATTCTTCCTTCAGTGTTATTGTTAGGTATATCCTCTTTTATGATCTGGTTTATCCTGGAATACGTGTAAAGCAACCAGTGGCGTCGCCCTAACCTCAATCAACCTGTTCAACAACTCTCAAAACGTAAACAAACAAAAGAATATTGGTTTCAATGGATACAAATCAGTGAAACTAGAAGATGCCTATGCCTTTTGAAACTGATTTGAATGTAAACATGACCCTAAATAACGTTTTCAAAGTTGTTGAACAGGTAAAAAGTGAGGTTACGCGACGCCACATTATTTTGAGATTTTTTCTTTTAGAACCACGAGAAAAGTAGCCAACATTTGTGCGTTTCATAACAAAATAGAAATTAGTTGGTCAAGTTTTGTGAAATAGCTGGTAGAAAGTCACGCCAAAACTGCTGGACAAAGTGGTCAATAATAATAATAAATATTTCAAAAGGTCCTATCTGCATTGAACGGTTCCCTTCATCGACTTTCTCTTCCATTAATAACTCAACTTCAAAAGCATTCCCTGCTGTGTTCAACGTTCCAAGCACAATATAGGAACTGCTGCTATCAAACTGTGTGGCAAAATTAGCACCAAATGCATTTGCGTAGGCGTGGTTATCAAAAGAGAAAGTCGATTAAGAGAATCGATCAAAGCAGATAGGACCATTTGAAATGTTCATCGAGAACTGTCTCAAGCGTTGCTGAATTCACTTGACCATTAAATGTTTGCTAGCAACACAAATTTAACCATATTGCGAACTTAATAAAATATGATCGGTCGAGCTGGCTCACGGTAGTCGACATATTTTCCAACCGGCAAAATTCTATGACCCAACCGAGCCTCAAACCCGCCACCTTTTACAAACTAGCCTATCAATGCACCCAACAACCTCAAAACCCCCAACAACATATAACATCCCAAACTCACCGACATATAGCTCCGGGTGCCCACGAACGAGTTCGCCATCGAATCGATCAGCTGTCCCGATACGCCGAAATCACAGATCTTTATCTCCCCGCTGCTGTTCACCAGAATGTTGCTCGGCTTCACGTCCCGGTGCATGATGGCGTGCTTATCCCGCAGGTAGCTCAGTCCCTTCAGCACGGCACACGTGATCTTGGCCAGGATCGGTTCCGGAATGCGACCCGCCCGTTTCAGGATCAAATCCAACGAGCCCCCATCCATGTACTCCATGCAAATGCTAATTTCTCCGTCGCTGTAGAACGCCCCGTAGAAACCGACGATATGTGGAAAGTTGCAATCATGCAGCACCTTCAGCTCCCGGATGATTTGCTTCTTGATGGCCGGCTTCACCTCCAGGTGGATCAACTTTCGGGCCATGATCAACTGCGTCGGAATGTGTCGCACCTTCATCACCACTCCCCCGTTGCCGGAACCCAGCTCGCCCAGCTTTTCCAGGTCCTCATCGCTCAGCTCGCCGATCTTCTCCTTCTGGCTGAGGAATACCTTTATCCGCTTCCGGGCGTTCTCGTCGATTTCCAGCTCCTCCAGCGTTTCCGTCAGCGCATCGATACTGTTCTTGGCCTTTCCCAACAGGTTGTGCTTGCCGATGACATACTCCGTACCGGAGGGGGTCTTGAATGAAGGCGTTGGAGTCGTCTGCTGGCTGGCCGTGACATCCACCGAGCCCGGAGGCAACGTTAGATTAAGTTTGTTTTTCGTCATTTTACTCATTGGAACGCGGTGCAGCTGAAAACACACAAATTATTACTTGTTTTCTATGTCAAATTTGGCTAATAATTAGGTACCTACCTTCGCTTTTATCGGGGCAGGAGAGGGATGGTAAAAATCGATTGAAAACAAACAAACCTAATTTATGATTTCCTTTCGCTTGGCACTATTCGCTGAACTTGTTGATACACCTTTTTAACAAGGATTTCGCGCTCTCGGTAGATTTTCTGCCTAGAATTGCAAACTATTTGCTAGCTGATTCCGGTGTTCCGTCTGGGAATCGTAATCCTTTTTTTTTCGCTAGCTGATGATGCGCTGCTCTGTGTCTCTCCCGTCCCGATTAAATTTTGACTTGTTTTGACGTTTCTCCTTCGGAAAAGTGAACTTGGAAGAGGCAGTGCTGCCAGGTTAATGTATTTTTTTTTAATGTTTGCGAAACGTTTGTAACGCACACGGAGAAATTATTGCACATGTTCATGCTAAAGGAAAATCGTTGCTAAAATTAATAAAACCATTGGTAGCATTAAAAGTTTGCATTGGTTCTTTTTGATAGAAAGCGGTTGGTTTTCAAAACTTTCAAAATAATTGTACCTAAAAGCACGGCAGTCCGGTGTCTTTTCAATTAAAAACAAAGTTTTGGTTTGAAAATGTGATATAGTTAATACGATAAGTAACATTTTGAATAGGAAAAACAAAATTTTGAAATTAAAAACACGCATCTTTGCTGTAATAGGGGAAATGGCTCGAATGTTGGCCTATGGATCCAGGTATGGATCTAAGATTGGTCCCATCGCTAAAAATCTGCTATTTATCCATTTTATCTAGATGAACGCGTCATTGGGATGGTACTAATGGATATTTTTGGTCGCTATTGAAAATTTAGTCGATTGCTGAATTTATGTATGGGCCCAAATTAGGGGCATTTAGCCCAACATTACATCAATTTCCCCTATCATCTTTTTTCATTTTACATTCTAAATGATATATAATTTGAAGTTTACTATTTATCATTATTCATTTACTTTACAACTAATTAAGCGTTATGTTACGAAATTCGCGGAGAGACACAGATAGACATCCCGGTAAATGATTGTTGATACGAGGAACACACAATCCAGACACCGGCAAGGCAAGCTTGGTATTGTTTTCCATTTGTAGAAAGTAGCAACTGGTGACGGATTCTACGGGCAGCTGGTATTTGTCCTTCTCCCGATCAAAGCTGAATTTTCCATTTTCCGAGGCTTTTCGTTATTATGTAGTAGGGTTGATCCTTCTCCGACAGGAATTTTATAAGGTCGATACCGAAAACTGGCGTGATGTCGTCCTGGCAGATTTTATAATCTGATTTAAAAAAGAATCTGAAAATCCAATAACAATAACAATGAAAATAGTGTACTTACCATTTGGAATGCCAATTTCACATGGGTCTCTACGAGGGTCTCTAGCCGAGTCTCTAGCAGTGAATAATTTCGGAATATCTAACGAACAATAGCTCAGTTTCTGGTATCCCACAGAAGAACTATGACTCTTGTTGTAACTTCTGACCTGGATTTGATGTTCACAGCGGCCAGACTAGTGAAAAAGGTGGCATATAACATTCCAGTGCAGCCAGTAAAAACATCACTGAAGGGTATTTTTGACAGCTGAACAACAGCCGAAAGGAATTAAAAAAGACTAAACTTTAAAATACAATGCAACATCCTTTAAACAGCGCATTACTGCTGCCAGTGTGGAGGGATCATCACCCAGCATGTCACGTATGCTATTTGGAAGCTCGTGGAATTTCCGCAGGTTCTGATACTGAGGGCATACGCATAGAATGTGCTCGATTGAGGCTGGAGTTCAACAACCGACGCAAGTCCTGTGGAACGGCGTTCCACCGAAATTGGGTTCTTTAAGGGTATTGAGCTTGGTATTGAGGTAAATGCATATTCGTAATCTGCATTAAAAATTGAACCCAAACCCAAAATTTCATCAATTTTGGCACACTGGAACTATTTTAAATAAGTACGATTACATTGCAAAAATCACCTAATTAGCGCCCCTCGGTGTCACTTTGTATGGGAGCGAGCTGTCAGTTTGTCAGTTTAGTGTCAAACAGTGAAGTTATTATTTTGCTTTAAATCATGATTTAAAAATCGAGATGAAAGTGCGTGGGGTTGAAAAAAATATCGCTGTGCTCAGAAAACGAAGCTCTTTCAGATGATATATAAAAACCGATATATTTTTCAAAATTAAAGAACCCAATCCAGCTTTCCATGCTCGGTAATGGCGGCTTATTTGTATGAATAAATTTATCCTTCACTGTGATTTTCGACACTACCTGGAGGGCGTATGTTATTTCATTTTCTTCTGTTCCTGGGAGAGGGAAAGGGAGGGGTCAAAATCCGAACCTCCAGATAGCACAGTTAAGGATACATTTATTCATACAAGCAAGCCACCATTACCGAGCATGGAAAGCTGGATTTTGCGAGATTTTGGTGTGACCGGTCCTGTCCATTTACTTGTTGTCCCTTTAATCCGTCGGATGAAAAGGGAGCGGTTTTGGGCCCACTTCGCGTCCCAAGCTTCCAGTACTTTGCTCACAATCCAGCGCTTGACATCGTGTAATTGTACTTCGTTGGTATAGCGAGGGGCAGATGGTCCTGTCTCAGCCAGAAAGTCAGCTTCAGTTGCCTGGTATTCCGCAGTGCACCGGAACCCAGCAGAATACCGTGTTTGGTGGCGCGGACTTTATCGTCGCCTGTATCCAGGGATGAGTCAGGGCCTCGGATGTCAGGGCTTGTATGACGCTGTGCGAATCTGTGAGGACCAGGATCGGTCGGTCGGAGAGCGTTGAAGCAGCGATGAAGATGGCACCAGCTTCAGCAGAGAAGACAGAACATTGTGGAGGTAAGCTGCAGCTGGTTGGTCTCCGGCTTTGAATCTGTCCTTAATCAAGCTTTCGATTTTCGGCAATGGTGTTTGCCAGCATTTGTCTCCATGCCAGTAGACCCTAGCCCTCACCCTAGCCACGGGGGGGGGGGGAATCTTCGTTGGCAGCCGTGCAAAGGAGTCTGTTCCCCTCGCCGAGGAGGAAGATCCCTTGATTTCCGGATGTCTTCGAGATGAAAGCAGCGGCTTTGGTTGCGATAGCTGCGGTTATACGGAAGTGGAAACGCAGGATGCCTGCGTCGATGCATGCAGCGTCAGCGGGCGTGAATGGCAGCAGGCCAGAGACAATCAGGCGTAGGTGTTGTAGACTGGTGCTAACGTAGCTAAAAGCTTATCCGTTGCGATGCAGGTCATCTCCAACTCGTATAGAAGGCGACTGTCGATAATTGCACTCGCCACGTGAAAACGGATGTTCGATCTATTCTGTCGGGAAATGGTCCGGATGATGAGTCTCGGCTGCGGCAATTTTTTTTTTACTGCACTGAAATGCTGTTCCAAGTTGAGGAATCGGTTAACGAGAACTCCCAGTACTCGGACGGTCTTCTTCAACGGTATGGACTGGTCGTCGAGAAGGGCAGACATGGCACCTGATGCTTTTAGAGGTTGATAATTTAAAGCCTGGCACCGGTGGAGACTGCCGCTTGGGCTCTTATCCTTATACGTACTGGCGTGGGTCCGGTGGTGATGATGAGGACCCTAATAAAAAATAACCATAAACGAACGATAACCCAAATCATTGAACTATTCCACAAATGGTTTGGATGATACCCAGAACACGTCGTTAAGGAAATTAACCATACAATTTTTATTAGGGGATGTCGTCGGCGTAAACGAACACATATATGTTTTTCGGTAGTTGACGGAAGACTCCGTTTATCGCCACGAGGAATAGGGTATCGGCGATAACCGATCCTTGTGGGACATCTGTTTCCTCGGGGAAAAGGCGGGATTTGGTGTTGCCGACTGCGACTTGGAATGAGCGGTTGGACAAGAAGTTCTGGATGAAGTGAACGATGGGTCCATTTGTACATTTTCACGGCAGTAGAAACAAACAATAGCACAAGATTCCTGCATATAAAATCATACAAATAGTTTCAAATACTTACAGAAGATTTCAATCAAACGTGCATCGAGCTGATCCAAATTTTTTTTCCATTTTCATTGAATTTTTGTACACGTCTGATGAGCACACGCGAGAAAAAATGGCTGACTAGTTTTATACTCAGCTTAGAGAATCGAGTTTTCGGTTATCATTTCCGTCGCGAAGTTGAGCGCAAGTGGAACATTTGACGTTTAAGCGTATGACGTTTAACACGTTTTAGCGAATATTCGATTCAGTTTTCCGAGTTTCTTGGTTTTCACGTACCGAATTCGTAACTGTTGATACTTTACCGTACTTTTCGGCAAGCTCGCAAATGCTCATTACAGCTAGAATGCTATTTTTTGGATTTATGAAGCTATGAGATGTTTTAATGATAATTCTTTTTAACAACATGCAAGAAGAGGTGGCAAGGGGTAAGTCACTCTGCCACATTGTGTTAACACTCACAAAAACACACTTCAACACACGTCACATGATAAGCAAATTTTTAATCAATTCTGGAACCACTGCAAATACTGTTTACATTCGATTGTTCTTTTGTTGCTGAGAAAAAAACGAGCAAAAAACCGCCGTACCATCCTGCCGGGAAAGAAAAACATTCTGGATCTGGATTGAAATCCAAAGAAAGGGAAATCCGAAACCGGTTGGGATCCACGAAAACAGCAGCATCAGGAGGAACAGATGCTAAAAAGGTAAATGTTTCGCATGAAAATCAAGACAAACGCAACAGAACAGTGTCTCATTGTGTATCATAGGTTCTCACTAGCAGCACAGACAAACAGACATAACACATTGAATATTTCTCACTGTAAAACATCGTTGCTAAAACATTACCGCCATCTGTTGAGTACACTGTGGTGGGCACTATGCTGAACAGATGGCGGTAGTGTGTAAAGTCAAACGCAAGGGAATTGACTATGCGCGCCACAGGTGGCGGTACTACCAACTACGATACTTTCAAATTGTCCGTTAAATGCTTGTTCGATGAACAACTTTCGAGTGTTATGTCTGTTTGTCTGTGCTAGCAGCATCTCAATTACGACCCCACCAATTAATTGCAAATTGTACCCATTGCTTGGTCCTTGTTCCCGGGTGGCACGTGCCTATTCGTCTTCCTCCTGCAGCGGCAGGGCCTGTCTTACTCTGAAAGCCGGTGCACCGAGCTGCGGTCGTATTAGCTCCAAATAACCTCAGCCTTCCCGTCGGTTTTGCATTTTCATTAAACAAATAACAGCAAAGGAGTCGCAGAAGGCTGTCATTTTCAGCGTTATGTTATGGTTGAGGATATGGTTGCCAGAAAGTATATTTTTTTGGTTAAAGTTTTGACTGCTCGGTCATCACGATGAAACACCCAGAAACACCTTCCGATAGTCAAAAACACACATGAAACACAGTAAGCACAGACACAAGGTGGCAGAGTGATTTACCCCCTGCGTATCCCATTCTTGTCGAAATTCTAATACTACACAATGTTTGTTTTGATTCGCTATGAAAGTTTGACAGATTAAATTAGGGGTTCGTGGATTTTCCTATGTTCCGAGTTTGGGACCGAAGAGAGTACCAGAGCTGAGCCAAAAAGTTGAGCACGTTTCTTCGGGACCTTCTGGTCTTAGAGTTACCTCTATGATACAACTACTTAAAAGGGACAGCGGACTGGCGTTTACGACTTGGAGGAGAGACGGCTTGCAAGTTGGAAGTGATTTCCGACTCCGACTGGGCCGGTGATCCCAGGACCAGGAAGTCCATGAGCCGACAACAAGACTGTGTTATCCTCAGATATCCTCACGAAGCCACTTGGGGCGGTGAAACACAACCGCTTTGTTGAGATGATCGGACTGGTGACTGACCGAGGGCATTACGTTGAGGAGGAGTGTTAGGCGATACAACAGTGCACCCCTCTATCATACACCGTTTCTAGTGCGAGATCGCGCACTACTAAATGCTACCTTGTTTTCGATACTTTTGTACTTTATTAATGTCAACGATTCGCAACGACGCCGCGTGCTTTTTAATCGTCTCCAATTGTTTCGTGTTTTTATTGTTAATTTAGTCCTCCGAACGACGTGATTCCGCTTCGTTACCTGCCTCTGGTCTCACAAATTTAGCTTTCAGAGGGTCATAATAGCAATTAGCTGTAATGATGAGCAACGCGATGAGCGAGCAATCAGCGATCATAAAATCGCTAGTTGTGACCTTCTGAAAGCAAAATTGACTAATTTTATATGACATATACAAACTTTACCACCTCTTCTTGCTTCTTACAAATAAAAATTATCATTATAGTATCCCATAGTTTCATAATTACGAAAACTACCATTTTAGCTGTAATGAGCAGTTGCAAGCCTGCTTTTTGGTTCAATCTTTATTTCTATCGGTCAAATTTGTACTATTTTACCGAAATTCGGGTGTGATTCGGTAAATACGCTTGAAAATATGTTTTTGAACCATTTATTCGGTTTTTTATTGGTAACCGAGGTTCGGTGTTCGGTAGAAAATTTAACTAAGTTCGGTATTATTTTCTGTGTGTGGAACACTCGCTGATATCCTGGTTCATATAAATAAACCAATCGCTCTAAATATTTTCAAATTTGATGGGTTAGATTGGATTGGTTACTCATTAGAGAGTTTAAGAACAATAAACATCAAATCATACCAGGGGGTAAGTCACTCTGCCACCTTGTGTCTGTGCTTACTGTGTTTCATGTGTGTTTTTGAGTGTCGGAAGGTGTTTCTGGGTGTTTCATCGTGATGACCGAGCAGTCAAAACTTCAACCGAAAAAATATACTTTCTGGCAATCATATCCTCAACCATAACATAACGCTGAAAATGACAGCCTTCTGCGACTCCTTTGCTGTTATTTGTTTAATGAAAAAGCAAAACCGACGGGAAGGTTAAGGTTATTTGGAGCTAATACAACCGCAGCTCGGTGCACCGGCTTTCAAAGTGAGACAGGCCCTGCCGTTGCAGGAGGAAGACGAATAGGCACGTGCCACCCGGGAACAAGGACCAAGCAATGGGTACAATTTGCAATTAATTGGTGGGGTCGTAATTGAGATGCTGCTAGTGAGAACCTATGATACACAATGAGACACTGTTCTGTTGCGTTTGTCTTGATTTTCATGCGAAACATTTACCTTTTTAGCATCTGTTCCTCCTGATGCTGCTGTTTTCGTGGATCCCAACCGGTTTCGGATTTCCCTTTCTTTGGATTTCAATCCAGATCCAGAATGTTTTTCTTTCCCGGCGTTTTTTTGCTCGTTTTTTTTTCTCAACAACAACAAGAACAATCGAATGTAAACAGTATTTGCAGTGGTTCCAGAATTGATTAAAAATTTGCTTATCATGTGACGTGTGTTGAAGTGTGTTTTTGTGAGTGTTAACACAATGTGGCAGAGTGACTTACCCCTTGAATCATACTGTCAATTGACGAGTGCACGGATGGATTTGAGTTCACTCAGGCTCTGAACCATTTGGCGAATTATTTTAACTTTTGGTTAAAATTTGACAGATGGAAAGTTATCGATTAACCCTGCTACCCGAGCGTGGTTACTTCTGACAGACAAGAAGTTAAATTTTGACAATTGTGGCTCGAAAACCGGTCGATCGACAGCACGGGGATTTTCGAACATAGAAAATAACTTTCGAAATGTCACTTTTAACCACGAGTTAAATTTAACTCGGCAAATGGTTCACAGCCTCACTCGACAAAAAGTGACACAACAGCGGGGCCCTGTTTACTAAAAATGAACACATATGTGTTCATTTTTAGTAAACAGGGCCCCGCTGTTGTGTCACTTTTTGTCGAGTGAGTGAACTCAAATCCATCCGTGCACTCGTCAATAATCCCACACGCGCGTTCAAATTTCGTATTTCCTTCCGGATTCAGCGCACAACACCTCACATTCTTTAAATCACCGTGCTCGCAGATACCCGTAACGCACAGTAACGCTTCGCCGTGTTCATTTTGGTATCGCTGGAAAACGTGAGGTTCATCCGAGCGCCCCAGCGGGGTGTTTATTTTGAAATCCGCGCTCTTTTTCAAACGTCAAACGCGGTTTTCTTCAGCCAGTCCAGTGTCCGTGCGGAGAAAAATACACAGTTCGGCTAAATTTACTGGAAATTACCAGAAAATAAGGTGACTCATTGAACTAATTAGTGTTCTCGGTTGTTCGTCAGGGTTTCGTCGGACAATCGGTGGTCGGAACGGACGTTTGTAGTCGAAATCAGCGCGGTGGGTTGGTGGGCGATTGTGATTGACGGGTTGTCCCCATCGGTAGCGCTACATCTTCCGTGTCCAGAGAGTGATTGATGCGAGCCACTTGAAAAGAAGTGCAAAGAGGAAGGAAGGAAAATTCATAACAAGTACGGAAAGCAAGAGTAAGAAGCGGATTTTTCGCTTGCAAAGGTTAGAATGGATACGGTAGTCAAAGGCGATGGTAAGGTTTCGCCTTCCGCCGCCGGGAAGAAGCTGAAACAGACGAGGCTTCCGTTTCAGGTAAGTTTTTTTTTTGTTAATTGATTAATGGTTGGTTTAATATCGTTTATGTTTTGATTGTTTTTTTCACGGGTAGATTTTAACCGGATCACCAGCGACGTCGCCAGTAGCAGCGAAGACGACTCCAACCCGCAAGCGAAAACCCTCGATCGAAGCGGACAGCAACAGGGCTACGAAAATTGGACGCACTTCGGAAGCGAAGGAAAATGTCAAGTATTCTGCTGCTCCCATTGTGGTGTTGGACGAAGAGGCTAGTTCTGATACGACTACAGCAACGGATTCATCGGTGGCTTTAGTTGTTGAGGACGATTTGCCGCAAACTTCAACGAACGAAGACGGGGAAAGTAGTGGCGAATCGGCTAGCAAGGAAAAGGATGATACAATCAAGATAAGGTTTCCGATTGGGAAGAAGAAGGGCAGGAAGAGCAGTGCTGGAGAGGCAGGATCAGCAAAGAAAAATGTTTCGAAAGAGAAAAAGAAGCATAAGAGAGAGGGCAAAAAGAGCAAAGTTGAGCAAACGGCGGCAGCGGAAGAATCAATAGTACTCGACGACAGTGATTTGTCCGATGCGGAAAAGCAAGACGAAAAGGAGGAGGTGAAAGTTGTAGAACTGCCCGTTAATAAGGAGAAAGAAGCGGAAGCCACAGCTGATAAGGACGAAGACGTGCCTTCCGATCAAGCTGCTAAAAAGGACCCAACAGTCGAGAATGTTAACAAAGCGGAAACGACTGACGAAACTTCTTCGAAACCAGTCACTGCCACTGCCGAAGAGACAAATGAACCTGAGTTGGCCATTGAGCTCGATTCAGCTGTGGACCAAGCGAATGACGTCAAGAAGAAAGGAAAGGATGAAACCGTTACTCCTCGTCGAACTCGTCTTCCTAGAGCAGCTTCGCAAAAAACCAGCGAACCTGAGCCGAAAACAGATCAGGTAACTCCTAAACGAGGCCAATCGGCGAAGAAATCGGTTGATGAAAAGAAATTGGATTCTACCACCCCCAAGGCACAGAAGAAAGCTAAAGGGGAATCGGAAGTTGGAGAGAAGAAAGACTCGGCAGAGCTAAAGCAGAAGCCTGCCGGTGGCGCATTGGATAAGCTGTTCGCCAAGATTCAAACAGAAAGTAAGACGAAATCTATCAACGAAACGGAGACGACCGAACTTCAGAAGACTCCGGAGAAAAAGTCGCCCAAAGCGAAAGCAAATTCCACGGAGGCAATGGAGGTCGATCAGCAGGAAGAAGCGGCCACCAGCAAACCCAACATTAGCGCTATCAGTGTCAGCATCTGTCTGGACGATTCTACAGACCGTGCAGGTGATGCGGACGACGAGGAAAATGCCTACATGCTGTGCACTCCGAACTCGAAGGAACGCTCCCTGTTGGTAGATGATAAGCAGGAGAAGAAACTGACACCGAAGCAGATTGCTCGGCGAAAGGAAGCCGAGCAGAGGCAAGCCGCTAAGCAGCAAGAGTTTGAGGAAAGGAAAAAGAAGAAGGAAGAGGAAAAAGAAGCCAAGCAGCGTGAGAAGGAAGAACAGGAGCGCCTGAGGAAGAAGGAGAGGGATGAAAAGGAAGAACAGAGGCGCAAGGAACGGGAGGAGAAGGAAGAGCAAAAACGCAAGGAACGGGATGAAAAGGAAGACCAAAAGCGCAAGGAGAAGGAAGAGAAAGAGGAACAGAAGCGTAAGGAACGAGAGGAAAAGGAACGCAAACGGTTAGCGGAGGTAGAGGCGAGGAACGAAGAAAAGCGCAAGAAGGACGAGCAGAAGGAGGAGGAACGGAAGAAGAAAGAGGAGGAGAAGGAGGCGGAAGAGAAGCGCAAACAGAAGACGGCTCAGGCGTTTCAGAGTTTCTTCGTGAAGAAACCGGCGTCCAAGGACATGAAACAGTCGGACGATGAGAACTCGATGGATCGTCAGTCGGTGGGTGAGGGAGAAGTACCGCCGCGGTTGGCCTTTATGCCGTTCTGTGTGAAGGGCGATATGCGGCTGGCACCGATCTGCCGCGTTCTGCTGGAAGGGGACCGGAAGAAACGGTTGGAGGATGTGCTGGCGGGGAAGGAGGATTCGGGCAGCAAGCGAGGGCGGGATGGCTTGTACTTGCAACAGCTGAAGCACAAAAACTACCTGGTCGGGCGGAGCGACAGGACGGCACAGGATGATGAGGCGGACGAGGACGATGTGATGATTGTCGGTAGGTGTTCAAAGCTTTTGTTTTCTTAGATAATGACTTGGTGATTTCCCTGGAGGTCATTCGATCTTCTTGAATTTCGTACAGCTGATCGTCGAAATTCCCTTTATGTTTCCGATGACTGATTGCACTTGCATCTGAATGCCTCCCTACCATTTTCGCGAAATGTTCCGCCGAGCTTTCCCTTCGATTCACTGCTCTTCGATTGGTGCCACATACATCTTCTTTTGATGTGAATTTCCAACGAACTCTAAAGCTTCTTCTTAGATTTAACGTTTTATAAAGCTCCTCTAATAGATCCGCTGAACGGTGGGTCAAATTCAATTCATCGGCTCCGGAAGGCTAACGCGATTGAGCATTACAAATAATCGAACCAGATAAAAACAATCCTTTCATTTTCATGATCTTTCTGAAGTTTTCGAGTTCTTGAGATGTTGCGAATTTCCTGAGGAATAGCTGCACGGCCAATGAGATTAACTCAAATTTGAGTTTAGTTTAGTCGTAAATCGCAAATAGTGTCAGCGATGAGTAAATTTGCCTCATGTATTCCAGGTTTGTCCAGGAAAAACTTCCCGAATATGAGAAAAGTAAAGATTGGATTCACTTGTTCTATTGGTACTACTTCTAGACTGTGTAAAATTTTCGTCAAATTTCCTCATTTTCCGGCAGATTTTTTTAGGTTCTCCACAGGAAACATGAGGCAAATTTACTAATCGCTAAGTTCCTGCACTTTTTGCAGTTATGAGTAAACAGAACTCAAATTTAGGTTGATCTCATTGACCGTGTGGAGTGTTACCTTCAACATCATCTTCAAAGATCTTGGAGCTCGCGGTTTTCCCGTTCTTCCAATGTTTCCATAAAAATTCCCCAATCTTTTGTAATTTCTGATGCCCTCAACATTCTCTTGAAGTTGCCTCAACTTCTTCTAAGTTCCAGAATTCTCCATTGAAGTTCTGTCAATCGAGTTCTCCGAAGTACTTCACGGATTTCCCTTGATTGCCCAAAAACTTTTCTTCGAAATGCTACCAACTTGTTACCATTAGGATTATTCCAACATCGCCAAGAAATCTTGCGAACCTCTTTGAGTAATCAAGAGGATCTTCTAGATCAAGACCAACAATTGAAATGGCCTTAACTCCATTTTGTAAACAAACCTTGTAAGGCCATTTTCTCGCGAACCGAAACCTTCACCACAATCGGCTAGAGGAGAATTTCCCCTACCTGTTCATTCTGTTGGCGGACTTCGGTTCGCGAGAGGGTTGTTTACAAAATGGAGTTGAGGCCATTTCAATTGTTGGTCTTGAGATGATAAACCCAGTCTTATTAGAGTATCTAATTCGACCCCTCCTCGCCTCCATTTTCAGACGACAACGTTTGCCACCAGATCGAAGTGGATCCATCGGCGGCGCCTTCCCGCCGGTACCGGGCCAAGTTCTTCCTGTTCGAGGAAAATCGCCGTCCACCGTACCGCGGAACGTGGCGGAAGCGCAGCAACCAGATCAAACCTCGCCGGCCATTCGTCCAAGATACGGTAAGTCGAACAATTTCACCCATCAATTCCAGCGTCAACTTTACCGAATCCTGCTTTCCAGAAATTCTTCGACTACGAAGTGGACTCGGACGACGAATGGGAAGAGGAGGAACCGGGAGAATCGCTCCACGGCAGCGACGACGAGAAGGACGTCGATCCGGAAGAGGACTACGAAGTGGACAACGACTTTTTCGTGCCCCATGGACATCTGAGCGACGAAGAAATGCAAGCCGAGGACGACGTCATGGACGACAACAGCCCGGAAACCCAGAAAGCCAAGCTGAAAATTATGCAGCAGGAATTTGCCGCCGAAATGAAGAAGAAGACGGAAAAGATCAAACCCCGCCTGATCGGGTGTCTGTGGGAGAATGGACCCGGAGAGGGACCGGAATGTTCGGCGGTCATTTGGGAGATTCTGAAGGCTCGGGCCATGTTGTTCGATCCGGAGGAACCGATTTCGTTTACGGTGCAGAAGAGCGAACCCGAGTCGAACCATACGTCGCCGTTGAAGGAGAAGGAACCGATCGAGCGGAAGCCCAAGCAGATCAAGCTGGTGGACGAAGGAGTCAAGGAACTGATCACGCTCATCCACGGTTGCGCTCTGAATCGCAAGTTCCTGATCAAAGAGTTTCTGGCGTACTGGGGCAAGCGGAGGGACGAAGGCGAAATCAACGTGCCGCAGTACGCTCCGGACAGCATCAGAACGAAAATACTGGAAGTGGCCAGCTGGAGGCCCTGTCCGGATGAGGGCCCGATGCAGAACAAGATGTGCTGGTACGTCAACAAGGAAGCACTGGTCAAGTACGCGTTGATGGATTTGAAAGTTCCAACCGGGTGGGAGTTTATCCTGAAGCCGATCACCAAGAGCAAAAAGGAGAAGAAGCAAAAGAAGGACGGCGAAGAGGATGGCGACAAGAAAGCAGAACAGAAGAAGGAATCCCCCAAGGAGAAGGAGAAGAATGAAAGGTGAGCATTTAATTCGTTCAAAATAACCATAAATAATAACAAACCGACCCCCATTTCCAGACTGCAATCGACGCCCAGTTCCGCCACAAAGCCAAAACCACCGGGCACCGCTACCTCCCGCATCACCAAGTTTACGAAAAAACTCTCCGAGGACGACAAACGGAAACAGTTTGCGAAAGAGAAGAAAGCCAATGCCAGCCCTGCTCCCTCACCCAGCAGCAGCAGCAAAAGCAGGAAATCGCAAAAGGCTGCCCCTGCTGCCGCTGCATCTCCCAGCAGTGCGGATGCTAAACCGGTGGCGGCAAAGAAGCGCGTACAGCTGCTAATGTCCGTTCCGCGAGGGCAGAACATCAACCAGACTACCAAGAATAATCTTATCAGTCAGTTTTTGGCCAAGACAGGTGGCAGCACCAGTAGTCAAAGTAGCAGCGATAAGTCCAATGACCCAGAAGCGATGGAGGTTGATCCTCCGGCCGTCGTAAATGGGGGGGATGAGGACGATAAGACCGTCATTGTGTTGGACGATTAGGGCTTAGATTTACCGTCATTATGTCGGTGTTTAAAGTGTATCTGTCGTTGCAAATATATTGTTCTTTGTAATTTATTACACGCTATTTTTGATCAATAATATATAGCAGATAATTTTTAAGATTTTTATCATTAACCCTGTCCCCCTCATACGCACATAGTTGATAGGCACAGTTATTTCCCCTAACCGCATCTACTGTTACTCAGTTACTTTAGATTAGTTTTTTTTTACCTACCAAGTTGAAACCCCAACTGTTGCACAGAACAATAACAATAAGTACATTTGGAGTAATCATCTACCGTACAAAATCGGTTTGCTGTTGCTGGGTTGTCACCGTGCGCGTATCAGGTAGAAAGGCAAAATATCAAACCAACGAGAGTTGAATAAACTGAGTGTGCGAGGAAAAAAACACATATTTTTAAACGCATTTGAAACGCTTCTTTTATTTATCGTTCTGAACCGAACTGACACAATTATTGTGATTCGGTGCGGTTGATGCTCCCGCGTTCTCTGTGAATGTAGATCGTGTTGCTTGAGAATCTATTGGCTGATCGATGTTGATGATTTATTTCACTTCCCTATGTCGGCGTCTCTAGTAGGCTTGGTTGTAGACAGGGATGTGGAGTCGGATCTAAATCGACACCGACTGCTTTGATTTGATAAAAAAAATCGACTCCAGCTCCTTTTCAAACAAAATCCAATTAACCACTTTATTCGAGCACTTAAAATGACGTTTACTACAACTCGAACTTTGAAATAAAACATTATTTTGAGATTTATTCTTCTAGAACCTCGAGCAAAGTAGCCAACATTTGTGTGTTTCATAAAAAAATAGAAATTAATTGGTCCAGTTTTGTGAAATCGCTGGTGGTCAAATTATAATTTACATACCTAGGGGAAATGGATGTAACGTCGGCCTAATTAGGGCCCATACATAAATTCAGCAATCGACTAAATTTTCAATAGTGACCAAAAATATCCATTAGCACCGTCCCAATGCCGCGTTCATGTAGATAACATTGAAAAATAGCAGATTTTTAGCGGTGGGCCCAATCTTAGATCCATAGGCCATCCATTTTCCCTAAATGATTTCAGTTTGGTGAGTGAAAAGGCATTGTTCCAATAATTTATAATAATTTATCCAGAGTTTTATGTGCTGCATTTAAGCATGAGTATTGCCCTGGAAGCTTTGCGATATATTGAATGATTTTTAGTATGCCTAGTAAGGTTTAGGAATGCTTCAAAAGCCAGGCCTGTAGTGAAGTTGTCACGGTGTGGTATCTACTAGTTGCCGAGTGCAGCTCCACTAAAACCCTTTCCTTACTCTCTCCTCTGCCTGAATCCCCCCGGGATCACGGTGAAGCGACAACTTCGGGGAGTTGTACTCATGTACTTGTCATACCCTCAGCACTAGCTGCCGTTGCTAGATCGCTACTCCTCTTCTTCTTCTTCTTCTTCTTCTTCTGTGTGAGCTGTGTGAGTTTGACAACTCAAAAAGGAGGGCTGAGTGACGAAGACTATATTGCCCTATGCATCTTTTTATGTCGCATGGACAGCTTTTGGGCAGTCGACTGCTTTACGTTTTGTGCATTTCACATTTATGAATATCAAATTTATAAATCTAATTTACATTCTTTTAAGAACATCACTACCTCTTTGAATGTATCAATGTCCTTTGATTGGAATAGTTCAAGCAAAGTTTTAAATTTACACTCGAATGGATATTTTGATCTGATGTGTCCAAATCTACAACATAACAAAATAACATGCTCTGCCGTTTCGGGTTCTTGGCAAATTTCGCAATCCGGGTCATCCACGAGTTTCATTTTGGCGAGCCAATACTTTGAATAGTCATGGCCTGACAGCAACCTATTCAACAGTCTCACTTCAGTATTACTCAAACTTCTATCATAAAACCAAGGAATTTTCTCAAATTGATTCTGAAATCCGAAAAATTTGAGACCCTTGCCTTGAATTTCTGCATAATCACGATACCACAGGTTTACATTTTCCAATAGTTTGTTCTTTAAAATCAGAAAAGCATCTTTGATAAATAGTACGTTGGACATGACCACCGGTCCGTTAATAGCGTGTTTTGCTAGTGCATCTGCAATTTCATTGCCATTAATATTTACATGGCTAGGAATCCACTGAATGGTAACCGACCAACGTGAAGCCTTACGGATCATCTCATTTAAAAATTTATTGTTTTGAGAACTATTAGATGCCGCATTTAAAATTTGGCATGATGATCTAGAGTCAGTGTAAATAACTGCATTTTCTATTTGATTGTCACAAATATTATTTAAGGCTATATCAATTGCAATGACTTCCGCTGTCGTTATGCACGTTTCATTTTCTAAACGAATTGATTGTCTTGATCTGAGATAATCGTTAAAAATACCTATTCCACATACATTACCACATTTTGATGCGTCCGTAAAAATTCGAGGTCTAAATTTATATTTACCATTCATTAGACACAATACTGCTTGTTTTAGCTGAATTGGATTTGTATTAGATTTTTTGCTTACTAAACATTTTATATCACTTTCAATTTTTAAATTAATTGGTTTCTCAAGCAACTTTTCTAGCGGCGATATATTGTCAATTACAAGCTTATATTTAAAATATATACTTTCTAAGTATGACCACTTGTCCTGAGAAATTGTATTCAAGTCTGTAGATTTAAGTTGTTCAGAAACAATATTATTTGTGAAAAAGTAACGACCAATTTCTTTTGCTGTACAATACTGATGTCTTAATTCAACTGGTTCTTGTCCCGCTATTGCCATAAGTGTATTTAAAGGAGTTGAACGTGTGCAGCCTGTAACTTTCCTCAACGCAATATTATTAACTGTTTGTAAAATTTGTTTGTTCGTTTTTTTAGAATTATTATAAATTGAAGAACCATACTCAACTGCACTTCTAATAAGAGATTGATAAACATTTATTAAAGTTTGAGGATGACTACCAGTTTTTATACCACTAATTACCTTAATCATATTCAATCTATCAGAAATTTTACTTTTTATTTGTTTTATATGAGCTCCAAAACTAAGAAATTTATCTAAAGTTATTCCTAAATACATATGATGATTAACTGTTTCTATTAATTGGTTGTTAAGTTTCACGTTAAGAATATTGTTGCTATTTTGGAAAATGATTGCTTTTGTTTTCTCATGATTTATTGTAAATTTTAACTTTCCCATTTCTATACTCAAATTATTCATAAATGACTGTGCTTTGTGATTCAAATGCTCCAAATTTTTAGCTTTGATAATTACACCAAAGTCGTCAGCAAATTGGACTAAAACTACATCTCCATTTGACAGTTCATGCAATTGTGCAGTATAAATGTTAAACAGAGTTGGCGACATTACATCACCCTGGGGAAGACCGTTCGAAACAAATCTTTCAATCACGCGATTTTCAGTTTTAAATATTATTTTCCTATTTTTAAGAAAATTTGTTATCCAATTAACTATCTCAAAAGGAGTTGAATATTTTAAAAGAATTTGTTCCAGAATATCTGTATTAATTTTGTTGAAAGCGTTCGATAGATCTAAAAAAATTATTGCTGTCAAAAATCCATCTCTTTTATTATGTAATACTGAATTGATTACAAAATTTAAACAAGCTATTGTAGAATTATGTTTACGAAAGCCAAAAGAAGTTGCTGGAATAATGTTGTTATTATCCAAAAATAAATGTAGTTTATCTAAAACTGCACAATTTGTTACTTTTGTTAAAGTGGGAACAAGAGAAATTGGTCTCTTGCCATCGATGTTAGATTGATCTTTCCCATGTTTCGGTATAGCGACAATTTTAATAGTTTTTAGCGATAACGGTAAGAAACAATTCCTCCAATTGTTGTTTATTTCTTTAACAATTGCGATTTTGGAATCATCTGATAACACACTCAACATATCATATGAAATTTTGTCTTCCCCAGGAGATGAAGTTTTATTTTTACTTTCAACTATTTTATTGAACTTTTGAAGATTCAATAAGTTATAATTAACGCTGCCATAATGGCCTTCCAAAGCTGTGAAATCATTTATTCCAAAATGCTTATCTAAAAATTGGTTCGCTAGATTTTCATCTTCCATTAAAATATTGTTACTTATCTGTTTTCTGTGTTTACCTGTCAGCTTATTAATTTTGTTCCAAAGTTGTGATGAATTTGATGATGGATCTATACTATCAACAAACTCACGAAAATTATTGATTTTTTCCTCTCTTTTAATTTTATCAAAAATTGCTTGTGCTCTTTTAAACTTAATTAAATTTTCTAAAGATGATTGTTTATTGAATTCTGCTCTATTTTTCTTTTTATTTTTCCAGGCTTCTTCTACTTTACATGACCACCAAAATTTTGGGGTATATTTATTTTTAATCCTACATTGTTTGAAATTTTTTTCAATTTTCATTTGAAACTCATTAATGTCTGTTAAATTTGATAAATCTAACTTACTAATTTCATCTTTAATTTTCTTATAATTAAAAACATATTTTTCTCTCTTATACTGGTTCTGAATAGTGTAAGATATTTCAATAGCTACATGATTACTTCCAATGTTATAATCTAACGTTTTCCATACAACATCGTTGTAGAGAACAGGTGAGCAAAGTGAAACATCTATAGCAGTAGATTTTTTATTGAGCTCTACCGGAAAATATGTTTTAGAGCCATCATTTAGAATAATCACATTATATTCATCTACCTTTTCCATTAAAATGTTCCCCCTAAAATCATTAAAATCATTTCCCTATGTAAAATGATGCCCATTAAAATCCCCGCCAATAATAACTTTTTTATATTTTTTGACAGATTCGAATATTTTTGTTAAATCTTCCTCCAATTCCTGACGTATTATCGAAGGGGCCACGTAAACGGAAATGATGGCCAAGTCCAAGCGTACTACTTCAACTCCAACAACCTGTGTAGCTCTATTTAACTGAGGAAAAGCAATTTCTAAGTATGCCCAATCTTGTTTTAAGTATATTCCAACTCCTCCATAGTTATCTTCTCTTGAATTAAAAAACCTGTGATACCGTGATATGTTATACTTATTTGTAGATTCTAATTCTGAATTTGTCCACGTCTCAGATAGCAAAGCTGCTGAATAGCCACCGCCGAGCAATGACCTTTGAAGCTCTTCTTTATTTTTAGCTAAACTTTGAATGTTTACTTGTATCAATTTGAACGCATCCATTTTAGAAAAACAATAAATAAAATTAGAAAATAGTATTACTTAGCTTGAAATGTTGTTTTGTTAACTCTTTTATGACTTTTTGCCACTCCTGAGGTAGATCTTTCTTCTGCACTAAGTCCGAATAGAAATTCATTAATGCTCCGTGCATGTTTCGCTCCGCAATCTCGATGGCATTCTTGTT